ATGTGTTTATAATATATATATTTTGTGGAAATAATTTTAATTACTTTTGCTTTATGGATCAGCAAACTCACACTCACACACACATGCACACGTTAACACACACATGCACTCACACACTCACAATATGGAACAAAATGGCTAAAATTAGCGCACGACATTCAATACACAAGCAATGATTAACTTGAAGCAGAACAACAAAAATATGAGCCACAGCAGCTACAACAACAAAAAGAATAGAAAATAAAGTAGCCACAAAACATGATAATCATGAGCAGCAATGCTCATTATGATGATCATCCTACTCATCGGCAAAACCAAAAGAAATTTCGCTGGCACAGCTGAACATTTTTCTATGTGGGCTGCCTTCATATACATATATACATATATAAGTGTGTGTATGTGTGTGTGTTGCTCTTAAATGTGTGGGAAAATTAAATAATTTTCTTGCACATTAAAAGTTTTCACAGCACAGACAGTCTGCCACACACACACACATAAATGTATCTATGCGGCAAAAGTATCTACAAGATACATATGGCGCAAATGGATTTACGCTTGTACTTACGTGGCCTTTGGCCAGCAATTTTATTAAAAAAAAACAAAATAACAACAACATTATATACACTTTGTTTAAAGAACACATCTATATAACTTTAATTACTTTCCTTAAGTTAGAAACACCTGGAAATTCAATCTTCATTTCGGCTGAACTAAAAATTCTGTTCAAAGTTTTTCTCTTTAAATCCAATTTCACAAAAAAAAAATTCGTTCATCTGCGCGTCCAGTTCCACAAAATTGCAGCTGACAGCGCCCAATTTCGTTTTGCCCGAGAAAAACACAGAAAATATATAAAATTCTTTTTAATTACCAAGCAGAAGAAAACTATTCGCAAATTTGCAGATCTTAAATTAGGTCAGAGCAAAGGAACTTTTTTTTTGGAAATATATTTAGAGTTCGACTGAAAAGCGTATAATAAAAATTCCTTAATGCATTTCTTTTTGGAAATGCAATATATACATATACATATACACAAATATACATATATATAGAGACATATCCATGTCTATAGATGTAGAGCTGCACTCAGTTATAGGTAGTTGCTTACCTATGGCGATCTGTTGGCATTCTGCCATTGTTATTTTGGGTGTTACATGCGCATAATTATTTTTGACTGATTAATTTGATTTATATATTTTATGGGCCGTTTGAATTAGCTGCAATGCATCATGGTCTGTGCACTGCGTGTGGGATGGCCGAAACTGCCATCAAAAATAGATGCAAAAAACGATGAGAAAAAGCAGAGAGAAAACTTTTGAAAAATTATGAAAAGTGTGTCTATAAATTATGTCCAAATCAATTACACAATAAGTCACAAACTGTATCATATTAAAAGACAGATAGATGACTAATATATATATACCCAATTGATTTGCAGATCGAGCGCGAGAAAGCCGACCTCAGCGTTCAGGTCATACAGATGTCCGAGCGTCTAGAGGAAGCTGAGGGTGGTGCTGAACATCAAGTGAGTGCACAAATTATATAATATATTAACTATACTATAGAGATTGCATATAACTTGCAGTTTGAAGCCAACCGCAAGCGCGATGCTGAGCTGCTGAAGCTGCGCAAGCTGCTTGAGGATGTTCATCTTGAATCGGAGGAGACCGCCACGCTTTTGAAGAAAAAGCACAACGAAATTATTACGGATTTCCAGGAACAAGTTGAAATCCTAACGAAAAATAAGGCTAGGTAGGCAAACACACACGCACACGCACACACCCACACACACACTCATATATGCACTTCATCTTTAACGACCTCCTGGCCTCAATATCTCATGCTTTGACCTTGTTTGGCCATACATAAACATTGCGTATATCCATGTTTGATTGTTTATCGTTTTGATGCTGTATTTGATGAAGTGGCATCAGCTGGCGCTGCCTCTTCAGTGTCTCTGACAACAGTAATCTGCTAAATGCCAACAACAACAACAGCAGTTGGAGTAACCTTGCTTGCCCTGCTGACACCAAAACTGAAATCAGATCATAAACAATTCATCAAAATGTCATGACAAGCAGAAAAGCTGAAAAGCCGCTACGGAAAATATTCCAACTTGCATTGCTTGCAAGTTCTATTGACACAAATTTCTCAGACGAATGTAAAATAAGCAAAAGCAAAAATGAAAAACCCAAACACACACACACACACAGCGAGACTTTTTGCTTTTGCTACTCATATTTCCAAATCAAATATCCAAAAATAAATTGCAAAGGAATTTTCGTATTTCAAAATCAAATCAATTTCAAGGCTGTCGCACGATCAAAGCCGATGCGGCGCACGCGGCGTATGCGTAATGTCAACTGCGTATTGACTTCCTGGCCAGACGTAGCCAGTTAGCCCTTTGGGCACTTACTTACGACGTTTCGATCAGGTATACCAAAATGCTACATCTTCTTCTTCTTGTGGCTGAGGTGCGCCCGAGTTTGCGCAGTTTTTGCCACAGACAAAGCAGTTTTCTCGCTCGCTCGCCGCAAAGCTTGAAGGAAGCTTTTCAGTTCGAAAATTGAAAAAAAAAAACAGAGAAATAGAAGAAAAGTTTTCAACGTTTTCCGCACGCACGCAACCATATGTTATTCCACAACAACAACAACAACAACAAACAACTTAGAAGAGTAGCGCATATTTTGGCATTTATTTTTAGAAGAAAAATTTTTAATTTTCATCTACATTCTTGAGCGTTAAGTAGAAGAGAGCCGCCTTGCTGTTGTCTCTTTGTTGTTGTTGTCGCTGCTGTTGTTGTTGTTGTTGTTATTGCTCTCTCATTTGCACCAACGCCCGATCCAAATATGTCTTTGATTGAATCATATTCAAAATGTGATGATTGTTGTTGTTGCTGTCTCTTTTCGTCCAATTGAATTTTATGGAAATTCGATACGTTTTTCGCTTTTGCAACTTGTGGCTGGTTCAATATATATATATATATACTATTATTTCTCTTCATTATATATGTTTTTCTGTTAATTAATCTAATTGCTTAAACGAATGGCCCAGCCTCTCAAGCGAAAAGTGAAAAATGTTTGGAATTTCGTCAATACTATAAAATCGAATTCTATTATTGAAATTAAAATAGCTTGCTTCCAGGCACATGCACTTAACCTTAAACCTTTTCAGAGCTTTTGCATATCGATCGGAAAGCTTTCTGTGCACATGTTGCTAGCTAAAGCTTTGGCTCCAGCCTGTGCTTTCGCTTGCCAACAGCAGAACAGCCAAAAGGGCCACAGGTCGCTTCTATCGATCGATAGGCAAAAGCTTTCGAGCGTCACGATCTTTCTGTGAGCTTGGATTACACCGATCTCTACCTTAGCTTGCTCCTAGCACAAAATTTTCAGCTTGGCTTTAACTATATATATAAAGAAATCACAGCTTGGTCGATCACCAATGCCGATCTCACAAAACCATGCCTAAGTATTGAAAGTTTCCGCGAACTGAGCTTGTATTGAACTCGAAAAAAAAAAACAACAAACTTTGATCGAATGCTTACAGAGCCGAAAAGGACAAGGCCAAATTCCAGGCCGAAGTCTACGAGCTGCTCTCCCAAATCGAATCCTACAACAAGGAGAAAATCGTATCGGAGAAACATATCCAGAAATTGGAAATCTCCATTAGTGAGCTGAATGTGAAGATCGAGGAGCTGAATCGCACCGTCATCGATATCACTTCGCACAAATCTCGCCTCTCGCAGGAAAACATTGAGCTGATCAAGGACGTCCAAGATCTCAAAGTTCAATTGGACACAGTCTCGTTTTCCAAGAGCCAAGTCATCTCTCAGTTGGAGGATGCACGCCGCCGCCTGGAAGACGAAGACCGTCGTCGCTCAATGCTCGAATCTTCGCTGCATCAGGTTGAGATCGATTTGGATTCAACTCGTTCTCAACTCGAGGAAGAGTCCGAGGCGCGCATTGACTTGGAACGTCAGTTGGTCAAGGCCAATGCCGATGCCACTTCGTGGCAAAACAAATGGAATGCCGAAGTGGCAGCCCGCGCCGAAGAGGTTGAGGAGATTCGTCGCAAGTACCAAGTGCGCATCACCGAACTTGAAGAGCACATCGAAGTCCTCATCGTCAAGGTCAACAATCTGGAGAAGACCAAGACCCGCCTTGCCAGCGAAGTTGAGGTGCTCATCATCGATCTGGAGAAGTCCAACAACAGCTGCCGCGAGCTCCAAAAGGCTGTCAACTCCCTCGAGAAGCACAACGTCGAGCTGAAGAGCCGTCTGGATGAAACCATTGTGCTGTACGAGACCAGCCAGCGCGATCTGAAGAACAAGCACGCCGATCTGCAGCGCACCATCCACGAACTGGACAAGGTCAAGGATGCCAACGGTCAGCTGGGCCGCGAGAACAAGAAGCTGGGCGGTAAGTGAAAGCGTTACAGATCTCCTTGAACTGGTTAGCTAATTGAATACCTTCTGCTTTCGCTCTAGATGATCTGCATGAGGCCAAGAGCGTCATTAACGAGCTGAACCGTCGTCTGCATGAGATGGAACTGGAGCTGCGTCGCTTGGAGAACGAGCGTGATGAGCTGACCGCTGCCTACAAGGAAGCCGAGGCTGTAAGTAGCATAAGGCCTTACCCTTTATCAACGTATCATTGATCTTCTCGCTTTCCACACACTCTATAGGGCCGCAAGGCTGAGGAGCAGCGCGGACAGCGTCTGGCCGCTGACTTCAACCAATACCGTCACGATGCCGAGCGCCGTCTGGCCGAGAAGGACGAAGAGATTGAGGCTATTCGGTAAGTGTGCTAAGCATTCAATGAGTTCAATCGTCCCACCCCCTGTGGAAGTTGCCTCTGTAAACGACGCCGCTGGCGCAAGCGAAAGAAAAACACAAACCTTGTGGATCGCGCTGCCAAAACGGAAGTATTTCGATTCAATGTGCAAATCAATCGATTGACTTGCAATCGTCGCCAGCCGTTGCCAACAATTGATATCAAATTGACCCATTTAGCCAGTCAGTACGAATTCAATAGTCGCGCCCAGAGCAACGGCATTAGTTTTCACCGCCAGCCGCCGCCAGATCCTTAAGTCCTGTCCAGCCGCTTCAAGAAGTTGGTTCGCATACGAAAAACTCGAATGAGGTAGTCGCAGACCTGACTTGCTTTAATCATAAAAATCAAACGATTTTCAACAGAAAATTGCGCAGTTGTTGTGATTACATAATCGGAAGTACTTAGTGTCTGGGAGAGAGAGCTATCGGAAGAAAAGCTAGCCAGTCGTAGGACTGGTCGAGTACCAGCTAGGTAGGTGAGTCCCACTCAGTGGTTTTAAGCCATTGTTGAACTTGGCAGCTGCTTCGCTGGCTTTGACTGATCACCCAGTATTCAGCTATTGCGTAAAAAGTGTGTGACATTTTGTCATAGTCTGTGCGCTGGCTGCCAAAATGGATCAATCATAGCCCAAGAAAAGCACAAAACATTGACTGCCAACGAATACGATGCTCATGATGATGATAATGATGATGTTTTGTACGTACATTGTCGTCATTATGTTGATACCTTTTTGCCGCAACAACAGCTGAACAAGAAATTGCAATCTTTTTATAGATTTCGACAAATTTGAAAATTTATTTGCGAGGCAGCAGCAGCAGCAACTGTTGCCAAAACTGAGGAAGCCGAAGGCAGCAACAGCAGCAGCAGCGACAAAGCGACGAAGCGACAAAGCGACTGGCCATATTCCTTTACTATCTTTAATTAGAGATATTCATATACTAAGTAGCAGGGCAAACGCATATTCCATATACTCCACTCATACTCCATACTCCATACTCCATTGTCCAAGCTCCCTTCCCTTGATATAAGCAAAAATGTCGCTCGCCCTGCAGAAGCGCCCCTCGCGCTTCCGTCATGGAACCACATATGATGATAATTATGGCTATACGATGAATTTCTATCAGCCGATGTTGGACTATTTGGATGCTAAGGCAAAAGGCCTTAAAGTGCAGCAGCCGCATCTGCCATGGGTTAGCGAGCGGGGCCTGAAGCAATATCGCTCCTCGAATGCGGTTAGGCAGTATAATGCCGATGAGATCGTGCGCCTATCGCGCACCTGCGCCGCGAGGGCTGATGAAATTTTGCTTAGCTTTCGGGCGCAGAAACGATCGCCGTTCAGTGTGCAGAAGCTCGTCGACGCAACGCGTGTGGCCAAGCACATTGAACCGGACACAGTCGTTGAGAGATCGCGCCAGCGTCGTCGTCGCCGTCAGGAAGAGCTCGAGGATTTAATCAAGCGCGACACGTTAAAGATATTGCAGCGTATACGCAAAATCGAGCTAGATAACGAATACGATAAAATGTCCGACGATTTCAAGCGTTCGATACGCGGCAAGTCCGCCAGTGCCATTGCCCAGGCGCTGCTCTCCGAGTCGGAGCGTAACATAAAGAGTGCCAAGAAGGAGGAGGAGGACTATATAGCCCAAACTCTGATTCGTTCAAGTCGTGCCGCGTCGCGTGCCCGTTCCACGTCCCCGTTCGACGGGGTCGGCGGTCAGTTGCGTGCCCATGCCGTGCACATGGAGCTAATGGATGAGCGCCTGGTCGACAAGCTCGATCATCGCGTCTCCTCCTCGCTGCACAATGTCAAGCGTCAGCTGTCGACCCTCAATCAGCGCACCGTCGAATTCTATGCGGATAGCAGGTGTGGTATAGAGGATAAGTGTTGGATCTGTCGCAAAGTGATGCGCACACATCCCAAGCTCAAGGACTATACCTATGTCTATTGGCAGCACTAAAACCCATCCGAAACCCAAAACCCCAAACCCTAATTACCTGATCTAGTCATAGTCTAACCACATCGAATCCTGCATCTCAGCATCTCATAAATTTTCATCATTTAGAAGTTTGCTACAAACGAATCTCGGGTGAATTTCAATTGAGTTTCTGGCCCAGACAAATTTCTGAATAAATGCGAATATATATGTTTTTTTTTTCTTTTTTGCCCACACAAATCTTATGTGTCTATGGCTACGTCTCTCTCCTGGGACTATGTTGTCTGGCTTCTGCAAAAAAAACATTTATTTTCGTTTCTCGACGCTTCTTTTCGCTTATTTCCCTTGGCTTTTTGGCTTGAATTATTTGTCTAATGTTTTCTGTTTTTGACGATGATCAACACTGGCATTGTATCCATTGTTTCTTGCTCGTGTCGAAATTATTTTCTGCTACAATTTTTCGTCTTGGCTAATTGCAATGCAACGCCGACTATTTGGCCAATGCCATTTGCAGCTGACGATCATAATTGCCATAATCCAATGTTTAAATTGGTATTCAGAATTTCAAATTTATGAAAGATAGAGTAAATATTTAGTATTATGTTTTCACTGAGAATCCATGAAAATTGAATCAAAAACTTAGTTAACTGAAAGTTGGAAGAGCTGAAAATTAACTTAAAGTACGTACAGCTCTTAAGCTTAGTTGATTTATAAGTGGAAGATAATAATATATAATTTAGACTAGATTTAGAAATTCTACACAAACGTCTTGCTAAAGGTGACGCAATAATAATGTTTTTTTCTTAGAAAAAATCTGTCATTAATTCCAATTACAACAGATTAGAAAGCTGAATCAGAGCACGACTCCAATTAGACGCAACAAAATTTAATACATGACATAGATGGTTCTTTCTGTCACACTAACAAGCTCTATTGGAATTATCTGTTTCCCAATTAGAGTCCCATTGAAGCAGATTAGACAGTTGACATATGCAGCCCTTATTTCAATTAGCTTCCATTCAATTAGACATTAGCCATCTGTTATTAATCCAATTGATTTCCACGCAACGCAATTTGTCATTGCATTAAAATAAAAATGAATAAATAAGAAAAATATTTTCTACATCATTTCGTATAGACACTTTTTGTGCACTTTACAATTCACTTAATGTAAGATCCATTAAACTATTTCCACCCGCACACAGAAATACCTTTCAGGTATTTCTGTTGGCTGCGTTTGGCAAAGTGTTTGGCCATTGTTTGACGTGTCCTTCACGAACAAATATCTCATTTTGTTTTCGCGCACTGAAAATTGATGTGCATGACAGCAGAAAGCCAGAAAAATAACAAAAAAAATAAATGAAAAGAAAAAAAATTCATCACATATTTCTGCGTAGACAATAAACATAGCAAAACGAAGCAAAAAAAAAAAAAAACGAAAGAAAAAAGAATTAAAATTAAATGAAAAAATACTTACGTTCGCAAGCGAAACTCAAGCTAAATACCTTGGCAAAGCGACAACAATGAGCACACATAGATTAAGTAACTAAGAAATGGGCTACTACACTGTAAGAAAACTGAACAGAGAACATAAATAAAGACAGCCAAATAAAGATGATGAACTGTTGATGCGTGGCAAAGGCATTAGATGGGAGCATATGAACTGAAAAGATAAATTTAATTAAGGTTTATGGGAAACGAAAATTGCATTTAAGAACTATAGATATATATAGATATATATAGAACTATATAGACAGAGTTTAGGTATTAAATGGTAAGATGTAAAGCTAAAAAGTAAAATATGATATAATATGACACTGCGAGCTAAGGCATTAGCTTGTAAGAAGTATAGTAAAAGTAATAGTAGAATGGAATGTTCAGCTTACAGCTATATAGAGAGCCATTTTGAACAGATATGATAATAGATAAATACGAGAGCAAAGTGTATATGATATATATGAGATAAAGGGCTTAGGGCTTAGGCTGAGGAGTCATAGGTCTTAAAAGTAAGAAATACAATTGATGATATGATACTTTGCTCTTGGAGGCTAGGCCTTTGACTGAACAGCAGCTAAGAACTAATAGAAGACGACAGATATAGATATAGAATAAACTAATAATTCATGTGCTAACCAAAGCTAAGCTTAAGCTGATAACTAGAGCTAGAATGTGAGAAGAATAAAGCACTTAAAGATCATAGTTGTAGATTCAAAGATGCAAGTCTTTCATTAAGCAAGAGCTAAGATATTAAAGAATCTGCAAAGCAAGAGCTCTGGAGATAGAGTAGCTCAAGCTTGGAGCTAACTAAACAGCTACAGTTCTTAGCCCTATGCAAAAAGTTGTTAGATGAATCAACAGTTTGATTACAATTAGTTGGCAGCAGGCGACAACATATCAAGTGGATTTGCAAGCCGATTTTAAATAGATTTATATAGCGTGAAGCAGAGCAGAATTCACCTACGCCTAAAATTAGACGCATGATGCGCATGGCAGGTTCTGTGTGCCCCAAGATGAGGCACTCAGGCAGCAATGGTTGGCATGTAAACGCGCTATTTGTGACAAGTTCGATGTCTTTATCAAGCGTATAAATAAATGAAAAAAATTTCGCCGAACAATGCGATTTTTGACAATGCCACAAAAACATCGGCGAACGAGCGCGCTGAATGCTGAGTGTTGGGAAAAATGCAATTTTGTGGGTCAGAGCATTGGGGCCAAAAATAAAGCACAGAATGCAAGCGAATGAAAGCGACTTCGAGGTGAAAACGTCAACTTAAGCTTTAAGCAACTTTTATGGGGGCAACTTCCAGTAGAAAGCAATTATATGAATTAACTCATATTTGATCTGTATTGATCTGTAATTCTTTAATTGAGCAATTCTATGTGATTCCGTTCTATGTGACTCCCTTAGCAAGCAGACCAGCATTGAGATCGAGCAGCTGAATGCTCGCGTCGTTGAGGCTGAGACCCGGCTGAAGACCGAGGTGACACGCATCAAGAAGAAGCTGCAGATCCAGATCACCGAGCTGGAGATGTCGCTGGATGTGGCCAACAAGACCAACATCGACTTGCAGAAGGTGATCAAGAAGCAGTCGCTGCAGCTGACCGAACTGCAGGCCCACTACGAAGATGTCCAGCGCCAGCTGCAGGCCACTCTCGATCAGTATGGCATTGCCCAGCGTCGTCTGGCCGGCCTCAATGGTGAGCTGGAGGAGGTGCGCTCCCATCTGGATAGCGCCAATCGTGCCAAGCGCACCGTGGAGCTCCAGTACGAGGAGGCAACCACACGCATCAACGAGCTGAGCACTGTCAACGTGAACTTGGTGTCTCTCAAGTCCAAGCTGGAACAGGAATTGTCTGTTGTCGCTTCCGACTACGAGGAGGTGTCCAAGGAGCTGCGCATCAGCGACGAGCGTTACCAGAAGGTCCAGATCGATCTGAAGCAAGTCGTCGAGCAGGTGCATGAGGAGCAGGAGCGCATCGTCAAGCTGGAGACCATCAAGAAGTCTTTGGAAGTCGAAGTCAAGGTAGGCCAAGGTAGCCAGAAGAACTTGTTCGAATACTGCTTTAATGTATGCCGTTATCTTCCACACAGAACTTATCCATTCGCCTGGAGGAAGTGGAGCTGAACGCCGTTGCCGGTAGCAAGCGCATCATCAGCAAACTGGAGGCACGCATTCGCGATCTGGAGCTGGAGCTGGAGGAGGAGAAGCGCCGTCACGCCGAGACCATCAAGATCTTGCGCAAGAAGGAGCGCACCGTCAAGGAAGTGATTGTACAGTGCGAGGAGGACCAGAAGAATATCATTTTGCTGCAAGATGCGCTGGACAAGAGCACTGCCAAGATCAACATCTACAGACGCCAGCTGTCCGAGCAGGAGGGCGTCTCCCAGCAGACAACCACACGCGTCCGCCGTTTCCAGCGTGAGCTGGAGGCTGCCGAGGATCGTGCCGATGTTGCCGAATCCAATTTGAATCTGATCCGCGCCAAGCACCGCACATTCGTCACCACCTCCACCGTGCCCGGCTCTCAGGTGTACATTCAGGAGACAACAAGAACGATCACCGAATAGATCAATCTCACTGATCCACAAACACACCGCACACACCCACACAAATACACGTACACACGCCACACACACAAACACACACACACAGCCACACAAATACATGTAAACACAACCCCAGCAGAAACATTTTATAATTTATAAAAGGCAACAAGAACAGCTTTCAGTATGCAGAAAATGAAAAAGAAGATGAAGAAGAAGAAGAAGAAGAATCTTGAGATTGAATTGAACATTTGCTTGAGAGAAACTTTTATAATTTAAATTTTTTTCAGAGCTTGCGAGAGTTCGTATAGGTTATACATTATAAATACATAACACTACACATCTCCTATCTATTTTATAATAATAATAATATTTTGAAGTTCATGTAATTTAATTAAAATAATGAACCTAAAACCTAAAAAAAACCAAATAAAATTACAAAAGGAAAACTTCAGCGGTTTTGCAGCGTTAGCGAGAAAGAGAAAGAGAGAGAGAGTAAGAGAGAGAGAGAGAGTGTTTGTTTATCGAGTTTGGCTGACCAAATCAAAGATCGACCCCACAAATATATGAAATAAAATACAAAAATAAAAAATACTATGAAAACGAGTTACCCGAGTTACAACCGCTTCTACTTGTTTTTAGTTCATTTTATGTTTAGTAGGTAAATATCTGTGTGCTCGTAACGAATTCATTTTCAATGATTAAAACAAAAAACGATTAAGAAAAACTGAGCAATTTTCATATTTTTACTTTGTATTTTGCAATAAAAACTGAATTTTACTTATATAATAATAACTAAAAAAAAAAACAATAAATAACTCCAGCTGAGTTTTGTACTGAGTGGGATATGTTAGTGAGTTTAACTAGAAGAAAATCACTTTAGTTATGAGTAGAAGAGCTGCGTAGAGAAACAATTCTATTAGGTTATGGAAACAAGGTATGGAGAGGCAACGTAAAAGATGTTTAAAGCTAAGAAAATAATATATTTTGAATAGAAAGCTGAAGTTATGGGAACGAAAATTGCGTTAAGAAACCACTTTGTTTCCATATAGAGACAAGGCAAAAAGTTTGCCTAGATATAAAAAATATATTCTTATCAATAATGTCTCATGCATAACTCTATATAACTAGATATACATAAATATATTTAGAAAAGTAACTTCATACTTATCTAGACTTAGAAAATATGCCACGCTTCTAGTTTAGCATACTTTGAGATACTTTATGTACTCTGCACTTTGTCAATAATTTCTTGTATAAAGCGTAGTCTGCCCTAGAAACCAGCACAGAGCTGCTCTGTATAGAGACCACATATTCTGAGCCCAGTCAAATCAAAGTTTCAAGCATGTGGAGACACAAAGTATTTTAAGCAAAGAGTTGAGAAACTTATCAAAGTGTTATATGTTTATCTATCAGTTGCCTATTTCTTATAGATAATCTATATGCTTTTAGTTCAGAAAACTAGATACGTGTATTTTGGGTAAACGATATATCTTACACAGCAATTCATGTTGCTAGTATATGAGATAGTTAGTATCTCTATAGTTATATCTAGACAACATATCTTTAACAGTCTGGCTATCATTTGACTATGTAAGCCATAAGTGCAGTTGAGCTGAGAACATAGTAATACTATAGTATTTATTTTATATTAGTATTAAGAAACTAAACATTAAGAACAAACATCATTTCCTGATTAGACTTGTGAATCGAATCGAATATGTTTTTATAACAAAATGTCACTATCTCAGTTCGACTTATCTCAGACAGCAATTGAGCTGCTCATGTTGAGAGTGGAGAAACTAAGTGCTATGATAACTACGTATAGAGCAAGATATCAAAGTCAATCTAACAAAGATTCAATTACTTCCCATTGAGAGCCAGCTAATCCAGGTGTTAGATCCAAGCTCATTGAAAACACACACAGGTAAGTTTTTTGTTTAAACTAATCACTATTTATTAAGACTTTCAAGTGGCTGGGCACAGTTTGAGTGTCCAAACAAATTAGGCAGCAGAGACTGCCAGCTTGGAGCCAGTGTTGAGGACGACAGTCTTGTCGCCGTAGAGTCCGCCGTAGTGGCTCTTCTTGAAAACTGCAAGGTAAATAGAAGAGAAGATATCTTTAGCAAGCAGCTCAGAGTGTTAGAGGTAGCGTCGTAGTAACTAACCTGGATCGATCTCGGCAACGAAGGAACGTGGGGGCAGGGCAGCGGCGTAGAGCTTGTCCAGTGGGCCGTAGGGCTTGACCAGCAGAGGTTTGCCCTGCTCCCAGCCATAACGGTTCAGGGCATACCAGTCAGTGCCGTCCAATTTGGCTGAGGCGGCGGCTGCGCCAGCGGCATTGGTCAGAGCAGCTGCCTGAGCCTCGGCGGTATCAGAGGGCTTGACATAGTCAGCATAGCCGCCATTGCCATAGCCGCTGCTGCGGTAGGCGAGGGGTCGGTGGGCCAAGCAGACGGTGATGCAGCAGGCCATCAGGCAGAGCAGACGCATTGAGTTGACGGACATTTTGGCTTGATGCTGCGAGGAAGCGACTGTTTTCAAAACTAATTAACAATTGCGCATGGCCAAATTGCTTTTATAGCCATATTATTTGAGCTGGCCAGCGATTTGTGTGTGCGCTTTACGTGACCAAAAGCCCAGTCAGACCGACGAGTCATGACGAAACTTTAGGGGGGCCGGCTAGCTGGCCAAGAGTAGCTGCATCGCCGAACCAAAATCCCACTGCAGTGTGCCACAGATAAGCTGGCGGGGCCTACCCCTTCTCTGTCTTCAGCGAGAGAGATGCAGTCTTCGGGCTACAGTTTCGGGCAGTCGGTGTCAGCTTACGCTTGAAATTGCGCGCCAAAAGCAAATTTAGCTCGGCCACGACCACGACTATGACAATGGCAATGACAAGCCGAAGAGCCAGTAGCTCCCATTGATATCTAATTGGGTGCACCCCTCTGCTTGGCACGCTCGGCCCGCTTTTGGCGTGTGCGGTATCAGGTCTTTGACTTGGCTACCTGCTGCAGCAGCAGCATCTCTCATTGCTGCTCAATGAACCTCGCCAGCATCATATTGGCTGTGGACGCATTCGAGCGCACATTCATCACTTCTGTGTCATATGGCAGCATACGTAGGCAGCTCTAATGTTGCATTGATAGTCTGCAGTTGGTATGCGAAAGACTCTGCTGCACTTGGCCTCTGTCCATGTCCATGGTCTGGCTCAGGTTGCGTTTAATCTAGCTGCATGCAACTGGGTTAGCTGATAATCGAGCCGAGTTCGAGCTCAGCTTTGACTCAGTGTATAGACAGAGACAGCGAGAACGAGAGAGAGAGACAGAGAGTGAAAGTTGCTTGTGTGTGTCTGATCCGCAGAGCTAATGGCTTTTTGTGTTCAACTCTTTTGCTAACCTGAGGCGCCATGAAATATGAAAGCTTAAAGCTTATTTAATCAGTGTACAGTAGGTACTCATATGAGAGAAACTGAGACAGTTTATGCATTTAAATATGCGCCACAAAATATAAGTAGAGATACATATATGAAATAGAAACTTATGTCGACAGATCAAAGTTTGACTTGAGAAAAATATTTAATGGAATTATGGTATTAGAATTAGAATTAGAATAGAAGCTGTGCACTTTGCTTTTCACCTGTAAATCTGACTATGGATTTAATAAGCCCACGCTTAGAAAGAGTAATATATGTATGACAAATAATAGCAACGCGAATATACTCTTTTAGCTTTCTGAATGTGTATGAAATGATTTTTAATTTGAGTTTAAGTTAGGGTATACACACAGCACACTAGCTTAGGATATGATAGTAAAGTAGAAGCTATGATAGAGTACATATTATAGTAAATAGTATAGTAAAGCAAAGCCGTCTTAATAATCTGCTGAGCTATTCGACCTACTCGAATACAAATCAATGACTTCGCTCTGTATTAAAGTTTTTGACTGAACACTAAAACCTATTGATTATGCAGCCCCAAAAAATGTATTTAATTTGTATTCTTTTTTGTTTTTTAAAGTAGCGATTTCGTTTGCATAGGCTTGAGCACGCACGGCATTCCCGGCCGTTGTTTTCGCTACAATCAAAGCTGAGCTTTAGGTCGAAAACGGCCAGCTGCAGCTGCCAAACATTGGTGAGCCACACAGAGCCGCTGACGGCAACCGGAACCACTTATCTGCCCCACACACACACACTCAACCCACTCAAGGCCACACTCTTTAGTATGACCGTATTATCAGTGAAACATTTTTGTTTTTTTTTTTTATTCACAATTTTATTTAGCGCTTTTGGCACAACGAACTCATCCAGTGCGAGAGCTTGAGATTTGAACTGATGTTGGAGGATGAGTTCTCGGCTTGGTGCATCAAGTTCTTAGTACTTGAGGCCCTCGTTGCCGTAGCTGCCGTAGTTGTTCTCGGGCAGGTACAGCTTGGCTACTGGGGGAGCGGCGCGCACGGGCAGCACCACCTTCGAGTACTCGACGGGCGAGACGATGCGACGGTAGTTGTTGCGGCCGGGGTACAGCAGAGTGGCGCCAGCGGGCTGGACAGAGTAACGAGGACGGTTGTTGTAGCTGCGCTGGTGGCCACCATAGTTGCCGCCGCCAATCAGACCGCCATAGCCGCCGAGGCCGCCGATGCCGCCCAAGCCGTCGAGACCGCCAATGTGTCCAATGTGTCCAATGTTTCCGTGTCCACGGCCATGTCCATAGCCGCTGTGTCCACCATGACCGTAGCCAGAGTCGATCAGGATGGGGCGCAGTTGCTCGCTGCCGCCATAACGGGGACCGGCAATGATCTCAACGGGACGCTGGTCGTTGCCACCGACAGCAGCGGCGCTGGATGCGGCAGCGGCACCACCCTCCGAACGCTGAGCGTAGTTGGAGATGCTGCGGTGTCCACCATAGTTGGAGCCGCCATAGTTGCAGCTGCCGACAGCCAGGTAGGCGCAGAAGAATACCGCGAGAGTCTATGTGAAGGTAAGTCGGGTTAGAGATCGATCGAACGGGAACGGGAACGGGAAGTAATCTTCGTCATGGTACTTACGGCGAACTTGTTCATGGTTGTACTTTTGTGTTATTTGGGGGGCGCTCGCTGCTTGAAACAGTTGGCACAATTAACAAACCAAATGGCAAGCACACTTCTTTATATAAGCAAAATAATTGAAGCACTCGAAACGTGATCTCGCTGCAAATTTATCACGCCGCTGGCTGCAGCTCACCTCAGCCCAGCTCAGCTCAGCTCAGTTGAGCTCAGCTCAACTCAGGTTCAACGGCGTCGTCTTCATCTCGCCAACGTTGAGGGCGGCTCAGTCCAGCAAGCTGCTGCTGCTGCTGCTGCTGTTGCTGTTGCTGTTGCTGCTGTCCAAATCGCAGCTCGATATCGCCACTCAAGCAGCTTCACACTTCACGCTGCAGTTGGCGCTGATATCGCCGACATTTGAATGCTGCAGCCGCCCACAATATGGGTGGATGCTGCCCACACTTTGGGGTGGTTCTAAAAACATAGCTGCTTCGTGTGAGCATGCAGTTGGATAAGCAGCAGCAGCAGCAGCAGCAGCAGCAGCTATTGCTCTACAGCTAGACCTCTCTCTCACTCTCTCTGCGTCTCTCTTGTAAAAGTTGTTAACAATTTATAGATTGGCTATAAAATACCTCAGCATTCTACGCAAAAGTTATAGACATATGTTTCAATAACTTATATGATATGAGCATTCCTTTGAGCTTAACTTTTGTCACTAAGGACTTATGTGAGCAACTGACTTGCAGTTGGCTTATAGAGTTAAGGCTTATTAACACATTCCAGAAGAACTATGAGCTGCTATTATAGCCAAAAGCCTTTTGTAAAAGGATACCTAAAGCTTTTCTAGTGACTTAAGCGCTTTTGCAGTTGGCTAAGCCATTTAGGCCACATGCCACATCTGCGCTGATCCGTCATTGAACATTCTAAGAAGTCATTTTTGAACTTATTTTTTCACTGCTTTCAATTCAGACTAGTTCCATAGAACAGTCAGCCCCCAACGTGCCTAGTCACTGCTGCATAATCCCAGCTACATTTAAGCCCGACACTCAAAAGTATGTCACACTTTCGACTTGCCCTCGCACAAGCTCGACAACTCGACAAAAGACAATTAAAAGAGTTTGTTTTTTTTTTGTTCAACATTTTCCGCGGCTTTCAGCGGGTTTTTTCTTTTTATTTGCGCACAGCTGCTTCATTTTCTCGATGGCTGTTCCGCTTGAACAAAACTGGTGTTGGTTCGATTGGAATGTGAGTGAATTAGTAGCCACCACGTCCATAGCCGCCACGTCCGTAGCTGTTGCCATTGTAGCTGGAGTCCAGATCGTAGCCGATGACAGCAGCCTGGCGATAGTTGCCGGGGCGGAGTCCAGCCGCGGCAGCGGAAGCGGAGGCAGCAGCAGAGGGGTTCGATGAGCGGGAGATCAGGGGCTGGCCATAACCACCACGGTTGCCACCATGGTTGCCACCATGGCCGCCGCCATAGCCGCCGCCATAGCCAATATCCTGAACGTAGGCAACGCGGCCAAGGTCACTGCCATAGCCAATGTTGCCATAGGGACTGGCGTTGATGCAGGCAACCAGAGCGCACAGAGCGAAAGCAATCTAGAATGGAACAGCAATAGAATAAGCCAACGAATTCGCCATGTAGAACTGGTCAAGGACTACTTACCAGGAACTTCATGTTGAGTTATTTGGCTTTGCTAGTTGTAGAAATCAATCAAACTATGATTTACTTGGCGCAAACGTTCGCTTTTATATGCAAAAATTAGACTCGATATAGTTACGTGACACTGCTTGGCCACATATCTATATATACTATATATATATATTTACTTATATTTAATAATTTTCTATTACTGTGATATTTCATAATTGTCTGGAGCACATAAGACAACATTATGTACTCGCATTTAGTATTTACTCGTTTTTTGTTGTCGTGTCTACAACAAATTATAAAATCGTTCGGTTACGCGATGTTTCATTGTTTCCGAGCTCTGATAATGCCTGGCAACAGTAGGCCCCGCCCCCCACTGCCTCTATTCGGCTTGGACACATGTACAAAAAAAAAGCACTTCGTGAGCTCTCAATGAAAACCCCTCGGCTAAGGCGCGCGACTTTCGTAGCCCCAGTTTAAAAAGTAAAACTTAAGTTTTTACTTCCTATATATGAATATGCAGTCGCATTCCTAGGGCGCAAGTTTAATAGAACAATAGTCTAGCGCTGTACATAGAGCTGTCAACATGAGCGCAAGACTGAGCTTTGGGTTTGCCCAAGTGAAGGACTACAAAACTGGGGCATACTTAGTAAAGCTAAATAGAGTCAAAGGCAAATGTAAAATTTTCTTAGTCAACTTATAAAATTCTTAAAATAAAAAAAAAAGGTTTTATATTAAAAACTTAGTCAAAGCTCTGACATAAAATATATATCAACAGTAAGCACTATTTAAGTCGCTTCTTCCTTAAGTTTTATAAGCTTAAGATTTGCACAAATTTTAACTTTTCGTTAAGCCCCAAGACCCAGTTAAAAATAATAATAAATTCTTTAAATTTTTTTTTAAATTTGTTAAGTTTTTTTGCATTTATTACTTCCTAGTTTCTTCTTATTCGTCTATAAGTCGCAAGCTTTAGGAGCTTTTGTTTCACTGTAGTTGAACTCGCTTAGTAGCCGGAGTTCTTGTAGCCGGAGTTCTTGTAGCCGTTGTTCTGGCCAGCCACGGAGCTGGCAGCTGCGGCAGCTGAGCCACCTTGTGCCTCCTCGCCATAGCCGTAGCTTGACTGTTGCTTGTAGCTCTGGCTGGGGCCATAAGAGCGCTCCACCAGGCGGGCGGGCTCCTTCCAGACTAGAGGAGCACCAGCCTTGGGGGCAGCCAGACCAAGCTTGGCCAGAGAGATAGCCTGACGATCGACGGGCGCGGCGCCATAGCCATAGTTGCGGCTGGAGGTGTAGTGGGCAGAGACTGGGACCTCAATGCTGCGGCCGTAGCCACCGCCGTAGCTGCCACCATAGCCGCCACTGCCGTAGCCGCCAACCGGGACGATGGCCTTCACGGTCAGAGCAGGCTGCACCTGGTAGGCATAGCCGCCGACGGGTGCGCTTCCATAGCCGCGATTGTACGCATTGGCCGAGACAGCGGCGATGGCGCAGACGAAAATGCACTGCAGAAAAGGAATAGGTGGAAAATGAGCTAATGGCCAGGAGAGATGGGTGGGCAGGATGCGCAGACACTTACCATGAACTTCATCATTTTGTTGGCTTAGTTGGGTTGGGTTTAGTTTGGCTGTGAACTAATGTCTGACTGGAGCGACCCGTTTTGCTTATATACTAAAAATCCAGGCAATGCCAATTCTCGCTTACGTGACGAATGTGATGCAAGTTTGGCTCTAGACGATCGTCTGTTCCATGTAGCCAAGTTCTTTGTGTTCCAGCCGCAATCTGAAGACGTCGCTCGATTCGACGTGCATGCTAACAACATTGCACTGGTTGTTGGCCCACCCAACGGGGCTGCCGACCAAACTTGACACTGAATTCGGCGCGGGTCCAGATAGCAGGCGTCTGTGCTTACGCCATCGTCTAGAGAGTTCTCCCCTGCCACAACACTCATTACGCAAGCCAGATGACTCGTGCGTGCCTAGTTGTGTGTCTCTGCGCTGCCCATGTGGGCGTCATTTTGATCCGCGATTCGTCATTGTTTGCACCACTGTGGCTAGCGAGCTTGACACCGTTTTTAGCCAAGGCATTGACTTCAACTTTCTGCTGCGTTGGTACAATTTATATACAAAAGCAAAAAAAGTTACGATAAAATTACAATAAAATAATAAACTATAAACAATTTTAAAATTGCAACGCCAAGCACTTTAAATAACTCAAACAAAATAATAATACTTTGCATCCACTACACACATTCACAGCGGCACATTGGTTAGCACGAAAATGCAGTATTAACTCTTCACTTACAGTCTATAAGTTCAGTTCTTTATTATTTACTCAACATTTAAACAAATTCAAATTCAATTGTTACTAACTTCGTTTTGAAAACTTTAGGATATCATACTCAAATAAACATTGGGACTGCTTAATCGTAATACAGCTAAAAATGAGTAAAGCAATAGGGAATATATAAAGCATTACATAAAGATTTAAGCATATAAGTAAAAGCAATTATTTGAATAAAAATTTTCATTAAGTATTTTCCCCATTTCTCTCGGTTTTTGAGTTTAAGAGCTGTGCTCTCGATTAGTGGAGCATCTAGCATAGCTTGTTCAACAACATATTTAACAGAAGCTGAACAAGATTGGCGCACACTACAGTGCGGAGCTCTCTAATCTTGATGAGCGACACGTCTGGCTGGCGGCCACGCGACTTTATAAGAGCCGCGCGCCCGTCAGCCCGTACAGAGAACTAGCTCACAACAAACACACCCACAGCTCCAAGATGCTTCGTAGTCTGTGCTTTAAGGTAAGTAGATTTATGAGCTAACTAAATGATAGTTGAGTGATGTTAATGTGCGCGATCCTTTTACAGATCTTGCAGTTCGCCCTGCTCTTTGCTGTGGTCGTCTACCAGAAGCACATTGGAAGCGTGGCCGATGCCGAGCAATTCGAGAGCGATTGTCGCTGCCAGAGGCGGGGCTAAGCTTTTATTAACTGAGCTTCAGTGTAATTGAGACGAATATACCAGCACACATCAATAAACAAGGCAGGTCGATGGCAATGCATATATACAAAATTTGAACTGTTTTATAAACTCGTAGACGACACGTACTGACCAGCTAGTTGACTAGTTGCTGGCCAGCTGAGCGCCGCACATGGTTTTCAGCCGGGTAAGCAGCGTGTGCAAATGGTGTGAGCGAGCGACTGTAGCTGTTGCTAATTGCTGTGCGCCTATGCCATGTTTCCCAGTCAAGGTTTCCATATACATGCGCTTGTACAATGCCGACAGCTGTTTTGGATCCTTGCCGGTTGTTAACAGCAATTTGATGAGCGTCTTTAACGCATTCTGCAATCGGCTCTCGTAGAGCGTCAAATGCGCTTTGAATTCGTCATCATCATCGACGTTGACGCTGCTGTTGTTATCGATGACGTGCCCAAAAATGAGCTGGCATTGAAAACAAATGTCTAAAGCCGCTTGCATTTGCTTCACCTTCTGCGCTGCATGAGTGGAAACTGCAATAGAAAAAAGCAAATTTTGTATTGGTATTTTTGCTAAGTAGCTCCTATCTTACGCCTACCATCAGATAGAAACTCGTGCAGTGATATGCGCTCCAGCTGCACTACCAGCAAGTCCCGCACCTCCTTCAAGCTCTCCAAAATTTGCGTTGCCTTCTCATAGTGATATTTGCACAGCTGCAGCGTCGCTTTAGGCAGTTGCGAAGCATCTGAGACGCCATGGCTACGCAGTTGCGCATAGTGAAAGGAGGCAATGCTGCAAGTGAGTAAAGCTTATCAGTTGTAAGATCTTTTTATAAGTCAAGCCACTAAACGGTTACCGTTTATGTATAAGACCGGAGCGAAAACTATAGAGCACCTGGCGGGCACCTGCATGTTCCACATCGCATAGACGTAGCGATTTCTGCAGCAGGTCCAGCACCTCCTTTGACGCCTCGGCCAGGCTGCTCTTATCGGCTGCGCTGTAGTCCTGCAATTGTTTGGCCAACGTAAATGTGGCCGTCGACAACTCCCACTGCACTAGATCCCACAGTTCTGGATTGGCTTTTCTTGTGTCCAGGCAATCCTTAGCCTTCTCATAATATTCGAAGGCTTCATTATAAAATGTTTTTTGTGTGTCCAGGCCAATGGTGCTACAGATTATGTGAGATTAATAGACAGACATCGAGCAATGTATGAATGCCATGCGTACCTTTCATTTGGCATGGTCAGATGAGCACGCAGCCGCATAAATCTGCCCATGTTGCAGTAAAGAAATGCGAGATTCACATTATCCTGCACCGCTGTGAAAGCTGCTATGCCTCGACGCAGGCAGTCATACGAATTGATAGTTAGCTTAACATACAGAGGCTCTGCTGTAGAGGCCACCGATTCAGCTGCACTGTCAAGTTCAGCTTTCGAATGCTCGGCAGAGCCACCTGTGGCGGCCTCTTTCTTCCGCTTCATTTGGCTGTACTCCTCTGCAAGCCAAGAAATATGTTAGAGTATTTCCAAGTGGTACGCTAGAAAACTTTACCTTGAGCCGAATACATATACTTAAGCCCCAATTCGTTGCGCACATTGCCCAAGCGACGCAGCAGCTCATTGCTCTCTGCGGCCTGCGCATGCTCCAGTGCATCTTCGTAGCATTTGCAGCTGTGCAGCATCACCTGCTCCACATTCTTCACTGGCACCAGTGTGAGCAGATCTGGTTCCTCCAATTCCTGTGTCAGCTCCACATTAATCAAGCTTGAGTGCTCATCCTGCTGTTCATATTGCTGCACATACTGCTCAATGGCGCTCCAATGCTTCGAGATTTGAAAGAAGCAATCTCCAGCGCGTCCTAGCAAACAGCTCTGTTGGCTAACCACATTGGCCATGTACTTGTTGAGCACCTGCTGGCAGCGGCAGGCCAGCTCAATGGCACGCAGCGTGCTGCCATAGACCTGGGCTTCATAGTAATGCTCCGCTAACGTGGCATATGTCAGACAGGCCTTCTCCAGCAGCAACAGCTTTAAATGCACATTCCATGAGCCGAAATTCTGACTGTTAAACTTAGCACTGAGCTTCTGAGTGGTCAAGACTTCCGGTTTGTTGCTATTGCTACTGCTGGTCAGCTCTTTGGATTTGCTGCGTTTACTCTTTGTCTTGATGGAACGTTTCTTGGGCTGCTGTGCCTGAGCTTGAGCTGACGGCTGAGCAATTTGTAGTTGCTCGTAGGGCAGTGGTATAGCATTGAAAGGCTTCGCCATGTTAGGATTCTGCTCTTCGTGTAGTATACGCTGCTTCTCTTCTTGCTTGGCATGCATTTCCGACTCCTTGAGCTTCTCCTCCTGATTGCCATTGAAGTACTGCAAACAGGAGAGGCCCGCACTGATGTGCTGCAGCGATATATTGCAGCGATCGACGGTGCTGGCTATCAAAGGCGCCGGCTTGGATTGCTTGGCATGAGATTTAAAATCTCGCAAAGCGTCGCAAATGTGACGCACTGCAACATTCGCTTTGCCACCGCTTTCCGCAGCGCTCTGATAGTACATATCACGCCCAAAGCCAAGTGGCTGCTCGTCATTGAAATTCTCATCCTCATCCTCATCCTCCTCCTCATCTTCATCCTCATCCTCATCGTCGTTAAAAAGTGTTGCTGATTCATTGAACTTGGGTGCCTTTGGATCTATGCCAGCTGGCACATGTAAATCGGAGAGTATATAATGTGATGAACTGACAATTTGTGGATATTGCTCTTTGGGCAACAGCTTGATGCAGTTGTCCAGCAATGCGCGTATATTTCCTGCTGTCTTCGGTGAAATGTGTTCCAGTGTATTCTTCATGTTGCGTGCCACAGAGTAGAGCAACATTCCCACAGGCACCGTAAACGGATTCATTTCCTGTTGCCTCTGTTGCTGCGGGTGCTCCGTTTTCTCCGCTGCTTTGTTCTGATTTTGATAGAGGGTGGTCAGATCGTAGAGCTTGACCACGTCATCATTGCGACCCTTGAACAACCAATAGGTGTGACCTGCCTTGGTGGCATTCGCTTTCAGAAATGCTAAAATATTCTGGGCCACGTTTCGCACCACCTGCGGTGAGAATTGTGAGTTCTCCAGATAGGGCAGGTCCTCAGTCTTGATGATCTCATATTTCTGCACGATGCCATCCAAATGATAGCACATCACCACCTCGGGCACATTGCACATGAGATTGTCCAGCCAATAATCTATGCCAGTTAAGACATTTATAGGCTGCGCAGCATCACGTAGCCGAAGGCTTATACAGGGTCTATTCGGACCCCCAAAGATGGGCATATCAGTGCCAATAAGCATGCGAATATCCTCAAAGGTCCATACTACATTGCGATTGAAGGCATGACTCGACTTCGGATCAGGCACATTCTCCTCAATCTTGGGCTCCGGCAACACAGGTCCAATAATTGGAAGACTTGCTGGCCTGCTGGTCAGAAATGTGGGTTCATTGGCATCACAATCCGTATCGCTGGTCTGCTTCAGACTGTGGTATAGAAACTTCGACAGCAAGTTCTTTGTCTGAAGCGCCTCGCGGGATCGTTCTTTAAGACAAAAATTTTGCTGCTCATCACCATAGGCCAGGATGTGATCGAGTATGAAGCTCCGCAACCATTTCCAATCATCGTCCGACTTCCGCAGCAAATACTTTTGTATATCGAACTCGTCCAGCAGTAACGTGTTACCCACCTTATGCACAACCATGCTGATGGCACTTTTCGCACTGTATGGCAGTTTCAGTAGCTGTTTGATATTCTCGGCATCCGAGACAACATCCACTTCGCCCACGCAATCGGGAAACATTTGACCCAGACGAAAGCTGGCGAAACCTCCGCTCTGATAGAGCGCCTGATGCAGTCCATGGCTACTGTGGGAGGTGGTCAGCCAGTTGAGGGGCGGTAGATTAAGATTTGTATTGCATTCGAGACGTTTAAAGTGTGCAGGTACTTGCACGGGCGAAAGCTTGATGATGGCTTGGCTTTTCACAGCTTCTAGCTCATGCGGGCCTATGCTGCGGCAGGGTTCAATCTGTAAGGCACGCATGTTAATTTGAATGATTTTACAAAGCATACACACTTGCCTCTTCGTTGCTATCTTCCATTGCGTTGTTTAGTCATTTCAATTTTCACACTAAAACAAATTGTTCACGAATATTCCACAAGGTAGGCGTTTGTTATGCCGGCAAACAGCTGTTGCATAGCAGCCATCCCTGGTTATAACAGGGTTGCCATTATTCATTGAAGAGTATAATAAACACGCAGCTATCAGCTGTTCGCTGCATTTCGTTTTTTTCATCACACAAAAACTTAAGATATTGTATTTTTTTGTAAAATTAACACAAACTTAACATGGAATTGTTCGTACTAATAGCGCTGATGTGCCTGATCAACACAATCCTTCCAGACTTTATACGCAACTACGTAAGTAGAGCATCTAATGCACTATCGAGTTGCCTTGGTTAAAAAACATTTCCTCTGCAGATTAAAATATCCCGTTTCTGGAAAGGGGTCAGAGTCAACCCGAAGTTTCAAGCAGATCTGGATGCAGCACGCGAGGAGCTTAATCAGGTTCACAATGCGCAGCATTCCGGAGAATACGCAAAGAAAATAAAGATAATGCGTGCTGAGCGAAAGGTCGCCGAAGCCGAAAGCATAATATTGATGGCCAAACAAATGCAGATGCTTAAGCACTCAACTATAGACACGGTGGCCTACTACGTAACGAAGGTTCTCTTCTCGCTGATCGTCATAATCGTTTGTGCCCGCCATCGTTATTCGCCTGTGATGATCTTCGACGATAGTTTTAGTTTGGCGCCGCTGGGCGGGCTGCTCAGCTTTCCCACTGGTATTTACAATGCTATTTCTGTGCCCACCTGGGCTTTTTCATGTAATTTCACATTTCGCCTGCTGTACGGTTTGGTAAAAAATTAACGTGTCGCAAATTCAATTGTAATTTGTATTCTATTGCAATAAGATTTATTTTAAGTGCTCGACATAGTTTACATAGCTTTATCAAAGTTTTAACAACTAATGCATAAACAGATATATGTATTTTTCAGAAAAGAAAAAAATTATATTAAATTGAAATATGGTTTAAAAGCACGCGCTTATGGTTGTCAATTGATATTTATCGGCTAATTTATCACCTCTGTTGCGCATTCAAATATGCCAAATCATCAATAAGAGGGCGGGTTTTAGAAGTTCTAGACAATTATAATTTCTTTTGTATGTCTAAAATGTGAATAATAAATAATTTAACATACTCAACAAAAGTTTTTATTTTCATTACACGTTAACTGAAGTATTCTCCATCCCTGGCAGAAGAAATCGATTTACTGTATATCGATTTGTTTGTCATCCCTACTTTCAAGTTATTTGAGTTTTAGTTGAGTTGTGGAAAATTGGGAATTTTTCCAAACTCTGCTGCAAAATGGATAAGCTAAATGAAAATGTACGCGAAAAAAAGGAAATCAAGTTAGATAACATCGACGTGACTCCTATATTGGCGGCACTGATAATTGGATTCTTAGTAGTTGGTAAGGGAGAGTGCACGCCACGTCGCTAGACAACAACAGTTTTTTTTGATCATGCTCCAAATCAATTACCATTTCAGCAATTTTTGTTATTTTACGACGACGCTCGACTGGTCGGCGTGATTTTTTGCTAACCGGTCTCACCGAGGCGGGTAAAAGCGCCATATTTATGCAGCTGGTGCATAACAAATTTTCCGAAACATTCACATCCATTAAAGAGAATGTCGGCGAATACCGTTCGGGACATGTTGCTGGACGACTTGTTGACATTCCTGGGCATTATCGCGTTAGAGACAAATGCTTTGAGCTATACAAGCGCAATGCGAAGGGAATCATATTCGTTGTGGACTCTGTAACCGTGCAAAAGGACATTCGGGACGTAGCTGAGTAAGTGGACGTCTCTTAATCTGTATACATCCTCTCTTAATGAGCTCCGCTCTTACAGCACCTTATACACCATTCTGGCAGACAGCGCCACTCAGCCGTGCTCTGTGCTAATACTGTGCAACAAGCAAGATCTGACGGCTGCCAAGAGCTCACAGGTTATCAAGAGTTTGCTAGAGAAGGAGCTGTAAGTCAATTCAATTATTCCTTGTGCTCTTCTAATGCTCAATTCTTGATATCTATAGCAACACAGTGCGTGACACGAGGAGTCGCAAGCTCCAATCCGTGGGCGATGATGAAGTAAACAAACCCATTACACTGGGCAAAATGGGACGCGATTTCGAATTTGCGCACATTACACAGAATGTGCAATTCTTCGAAAGCTCAGCTAAGGATAAGCAATTAAGTGATCTTACAGATTGGATAGATCGCATGCTATATTAACACAAGCTAAGGGCACTGAAATATCATCAAATATTTAATTGATATTGATATTTATAATATGTAATTTTTCTATTCAAAGTCTCAAGACTCAAAGCGATAGCTCACAAAATGTTAAATACTTTTTAAAATAGATCCTGCCTTCTCCTCCTGTTTATCCTGCAAATCTGCATTTAGGTTAATAATGAATTTTTTATAAGATTTTTTCAAGCGAAATAAAATATTTGTTTTGTTTTAATGGAATTGAGAAACAATGAATTTCAGCATGGATTGTGGCTGTATATATATAATTATAAACTAAATTTGTCTGCAGCTCAAAGTCTTAAATTGTTTAATTTTATGCGCATTCGTTAATAGTGACATTGCTTATGGAACTGGACAAATAAACTGCTTGCAGCAATGTGCGATACACTGCTTGTTTGCATTTAAATTTTGTGTGCTGCCTAGAAGTATGCTACAAAAAGTGTTTACTCATTTTAATGGGGACAGGTCAAACTAAGCCGTAAGGCAAAAGAAAACGTGACTGTACACCCTTTAACTTAACTATGGTACTATACTCGTAGTGACTGTACTATTACTACACTACTCATATACTCCTATTATTATACTACTTTTCTGCTACTTTTACTTCACTTTTGGTCTACTACTTTCCTGCTTTTCAAAGACTACTCCTATTATACTTTACTACTATTCAACTACCAAAGCCGAAGTCAACTTACTTCTAATTCTCATTCATCTGAAAATGAGTTATTAATTCAATTCCAGCAAAAGTAAAAGCCAACTGGCCAGAAACGTATTAGCCAAATGTTTGGCGCATGCGCAAGCTTTCAAACCTTTTTAGCGATTTGAAACCTTTTGCGAACGTAGCATCAGCATCAGCAGCAGCAGCTGTCGATAAGCTGCCTGATCCATCGATCAATTGACCGGCCAAAGATCAAACAGCCGCCCAAAAGGAGAAAAAATTCAATGAACTCGTCGTTCGTCGCTCATCTTCGCTGACTAGATAGAATTTCTAGGCTAAGAGAAGTTCTTAGAATTGTTAGCTTTTAAGATTTGCCGAACAAAGATCCGGGGCGGATGCCTAACAGACCAGGGCCAAGTCTCGTGTTGGCTGCCAGCTGCCATCCATCGCTAATGTTCGTGGGCAACGTTGGTGGCAACTCGATTTGATGGATCGAAGCCACGAATTTCGAGGAAAAGCGCGAGGATTCAGCGAGGACACATGCTCCGTGACTGCTCACTGGCTGACTGATCACTAAACGAGGCTAAACTGTTTTATTCGACAAAAAAGTATAGATTTCCCTTAAAAGCTGGCTTGGTTAAAGGGAAATACATACATATGTTAGTCCCTCCACTGCACAGTTACTCTTGCTCTTTTTTTAAATGACCTTGTTTAAGGGAAATATACATAATTCTAATTATATTACGTGTCGCTTTAATTGTATCTGTCGTTCTATCTATAAAGGGAAATTTAACTCTCTTCAGCTTTTATTGCTGCTGCACTTTTTTCGAAGAGTTAAGGGAAATTTAACTCTCCTCATTATGTGTTTTGCTCTCTAGTTTCTATTGCTGCTCAAATGCTCTTTCAGCGTCAGCTTCCTCTCACTTACAACCGCCACCTGTTTTTTTCTAGCTTGTTGTAGTTTCAACACTTCCTGGCATTGTTGCCGCCTGCACTTTTTCTCTTTAGCTGCAACATGTGGCTGCTGTGATTCGGTGTCATGTGCATTGGAGCACGTGCTACAGACATATACAAAAGAAATAAAGAGAGGCATAAGGTACTTTTTACAGCTGCAGACAGACCCATATGTTTCAGACACGCTTTAGCCAAGCGGAAGAACCGACCGCTCGACGGCTCGGCTGCTCGACTGCTCGGCTGCTCGTCGCGTACACAGTAGCTGTTGTTAATTATGTACAGCTGATTAGGCAGACAAATGCAACAGGCGACGTTCTTTACTCTCTTCTTTTTTGCGTGCTGTGTTGTGGGGCGAACAGTTTGCCAAAAAAATACGATATGCCCGGCTCCGGTTACCCAAAAAAAGAAGACGAAAAAATAAGAGAGACGATTGCTGCCAACAAATTCATTGGAAGAGCAGACAAGCTGAGTTTAAGCTATGTTGGGCGATTGAATTACGAGCGTAGTAGACCGTTAGTGGACAAAACCTTAGTTAACTTAAATTGACTGGCCAATAAATCTGTCTTATTATAGAAAACACACAAATATACATAAACAAATGTCAACTTTGTTGTATATTTATCTATGATTGTATGTGATGCATCAATAGAGCTTCTTAAAGGGAAATTTAACTCTCTTCAATTATTATGTTATGTCTTCTCTAGCTTTTATTGCTGCGTGTGCATGTATGTATGTACTTATGTATATATATGTGTGTACATTGTATACATGCACATGTAGAATAGCATATCTATGTATATGTATCTTAGTATAGGTATATACATATATGTATGTACATATTATTCTTATGTATGTATGTGATAGTTTTTATCTATGCATACGGATGCTTGCATATGTATATGTATACGCACATGCCCGTTCTGTATATGCATATATATGTATATATGTGTATAATTATCATGTATGCATATGTATGCATGCGTGTAAGCTTGTATGCAATTCTGTCTATAACTATGTTAATATGTATGTATGAACGTATAAGGGGGAATTATAAGGGAAAATGAAGTACTTGTTCATATGTATGTAAACTTAATTTCCCCTCTCACTTTGATACTTTAATAAGGCGCAAACCGCAATTACCGAGAGCTGGGAGCTTGCTGGAGCGGGCGCCCGTTAAAAGTATTTTGTGCTCTTTTTATGTACAGAGAGCGCGACGTTTTGTGGATTTTGAGATGGCAAACGGGAGGAGTGCCGGAGTAGGGGCAGGGGCAGGGGGTGTGGCTGGCAGGGCCGCAGTGGACAGCGCTGTGTTGCACATATGCAATTTATTTTAACACATCGTTAAAGCTCACAAAAATAAATCTTGACGCGCCGGACACTGCAATTATCACCTCTGCATAATCAGCAGTGCAACATCAGCAGCAGCAGCAGCAAATTGAGCAACAAGGCAGGAGGCAAGCATCGAACAACGAGAGCAACGCATGCCCCACGGGCGTGCGACAAGGTACGAAACCCGCTTCGAAACTGCAACTGAAGAGCTGAAGGCAGCAGCAGCGACAGCGACAGCTGCCACAACAACCGCCTCCTGTTAGCTTTCCTTTCCCAATTTTTGGGGCTCGACCCACGCGGCCCAAGTGTGAAGCTGCATGTGCTGTGCATGTGTGTGTGTGTGTGTGTGTATGTATAATGGCACTCCATTTAGCACCTTGTTGACGCGCGGCATCTAATTAAATGCAGCTCGTCTTCTTCTGCTGCTTCTTCGTCGTTTTTTCAGCTGAACTTTCATGTAATGCCAAAAATTATAGCGCCTGTTGGCAGCTGATGGAGGCTGCTGGCCGAAAGCAGATTGGCAGCCTCCATTGTTGGACTTTCTCATCGGGCGCTCGCTTTAAGCCAACATTTTTGATTTTTGTGCATACAATTTGCTGATTAATTATAATGCGGCAGCTGCGCGCCTTTGTTGCCAAAAGCTGAAGGCTTTGTTGGCCATAAACGTTTCACATGACACCGAACCGAACCTGCAGCGAACCTGAAGCGAACCGCAACGAACCGAACTAAGGGATCGCCTCAGCTCCAATTCCTAATTACGGGTTTAGGGCCACAGCAGAGGCCGCTTTGGAAGTCTCTCGTCTGTGCGTGCTCAGCGCCCATGGAGCAGCGCCTCTTCGTCAGTTTTTGTTTGCATTGGGTAGCTGCTCTTCATGTCAATAGCACATCTCGAACTGTTTCATTAACTTTAATTTTTATATGCGAAATTATATTTAAATACAATCATTTGTGCTCTGCAATGAAACCTTGGAGCGCATTCAGTAGCCAGTAGCCAGAGATATAAAATTATTTCAAGGTTACCTTTTGGCTTACTTGACTGGGCCTACGAGATTTGGCAGTTTAGGGAAATTCTTTGCTGCTCCAGTTAGAATTGGTTTTGCTAGCTGGAAGTGCACTACTAAGAGAGAGTTGTAGCTTAAGTTTTTCTCTTAGGTTAAGTCTTTCTCTTCATCGTGCACTTCTAGCTTGGAACTTCTAGCTGACTGTCAAAACTTCTGATTGGAATTTGTGCAGTAGCTGAAGCTGGTACAAGAAGCGGGAACAGAAGCAAAATTAGGAACAGAAGCAACAGTTGAAAGAGAAGCAGAAACAGGCACAGAAGCTGGAACAGAAGCAAAGAAGCTAATTGGAGTAAGAGCAAACAGCGGATAGAACTTGAATTGGACTTTTCTAATTCGCAATTCGTATGATCGTATGATCGTAAATGCTATCAGCCAGGATCGATTCTAGTTAGAAGTGTTGAGCAAGTCCATCTGTCTCTCTCACGCTTTCACTCTTACACTCTCCCTCTCTCTCTTTCCTACATAATCGCTGCTATTAAGTGGGAACCACCTTAAGCTAAAAACGATGATCTCTCTGCTAACGTGTGGGCCATAAACAAGTGCGGCCTCCGTCATCTAAATGCAAATGCGCAACAAAATTACTTAAACACGCTTCACAGGCAGTCGAGGAGGGGCGGCCGATAAGGGGGTGTCTAAACGGGTACGATATGGTTATGTTAGAGGTCCAACGTTGCGGCACGCTACTGACTATCAAAAGGCTTTTGACTTTGGCAAATTAATCACCGGGCAGTTGAGCGGGAGAGAGGGAGGGCGGGCTGGCACCCCTCCGGGGGTAATTCGTATGTCCAAAGCGCCGGCGTGCAAGTACATGTGTGTGTGTGTGTCGGTCACACTTTTGATTTTCTATAATTTGAGGCTTGGCTTGGATCGTTGCTCTACCAGCCGAAAACATGCGCGGTCAGTCGTGTGCGGCGTAAGGCAACCAAATGTATCGAAATGCAACCGACCGATATAATTGCGTTTTTCGTGAATATATTCACACACACACACACACACGGAGAGTCTATATCTAAACATGGTTGGCCGAGCGACACGCGCAACAGCCTTTTTTCATATGTAAAGCACATGATTTTCCAATTGGAAAATTAGTCATGTGTATGCGATTGTACGTCAGTGTGTGTGTGTGTGTGTA